TGGTTTTCCCGCCTATACTTCCTGCCTGGCCAATCAGCATTTTATTAAAATACACAATTGACAGAATACAGATAATTCTCCCACACCAAAGAGTCTATATTTTATTGTCCATAATCCCTACCTAAGATCTCCAAAAGGTAGAAAAGATAGCGCTTCCCATGTGGAGAAGCAATGGAAGATCTGCCTTGCTCTCAGTGTGACCTATTAACTTTGTAGATGAAAAAGTGATGCCCTATTCGTGTGTTCGAGTGGCATGGCAGTCTACTTCAGAATTCAGAAAAATCAATTATCTTCCCAAAAGTAGAAGTGTCTCCTTTTCAAGTCTGTCTGAAAGACATCAAAATCACAAAAATAAAGAGTGCAAATGAAGCAGAAGGGTTCAGACAGAACCGCTTAGGGTATATTTAAACCACTGCTGAGACAAGGCTACCTTCCTGGGAACTTCTCTCAGGAAGAGTTCCTTTCTGAAACTCTACTGCTAATGGTCAGAATGCAGTCAGAGAGGCAGGTAATCTAATGCTATACGCAAAGAAAAGATTAATAAGAAGACAAATACTATTTTGTACTGAAAAATATTATTTTTGTGTGTAAAAAAATCAGTGTTTAAAAGATCAAGTGATTCTTTGTTTTGTTCGTAATGTAGCTCAAGATGAAAATGCATTTATTTCGGACTCCCACTCTCTAAGTGACTCTCTACTGTTGTTATTTCCTATCTGGACGCTTTGACAAAAGGTCCTAGTTTTTGAATATAAGGAAATTATAATTTTAATTCAATGGCCTGTGGAGGTTAAAAAGTGCATGCCCATTTCCACCTTGTCTGATGGTCATAGACTTCTGCTCCTTCTTTTGTAACTATGAGGCCACCTGGGGAGGGGTGATCTTCGGGATATGCTACCTAGAGCTGCTTTGCTACCTATACAGCAGAATGTTAATGATGTGATGTCTCAGAGTGATAAAGCCATTAACTATGTAAGTTATCTTTTGTATCATGTTAATAAAATCTTTTGTTACCTCCCCACACACACACCATTTACATTGTGTATAAAAGCTGTGGAAGAATAAAGGCAGAGATATAAACAATACCCAAGCTACTCAGTGCAAAAAATATTTACATTGGTTCTATAACTCTGTACATTACCAGTTATTTAAAAATTATTATGAGGATTTAGGGAGATGATACTGATGACTTGCAGCATTAGGAATTGTGTTCCTACACAATCCATGTAAAAAGTCAGGCATTATGGCCTGTAACTCAAACATTGAGAAATGGAGATCATTGGATCATGGGTGCATGCTGACCAATCAAGATAATCTAAACATCAAGTTTCCAGCAGTTTCCAGACTATTTAAGACTATAATATGAGAGAGACAAAGGGAGACAGCAGATGTCATGCTATGAGTTCAACAGGCTTTTGCACCAATACATTTACGTGTATGCAACACACCCACCTACCCACTCACCCACCCACAGAGAAAGAGGAACAGAGGAGTAAAGTAAAGAAAAATGGAAATACATTTTACATTTCCAAATCCTCTGCATTTGGGGAAGGTAACATCTAGTAAGGAGAAAGGAACATCTGGTTTAGCTCTGTGGGATATATCTGTTCACATTGTGACCTAGGTTGACTCTGTAAATCAACATACAATTTATGAAAATCATAAATTATATTAGTGGTTGCATTATTTGAATTATTCTCTTTAAAAGTTTATGCTGTATACAATTAATCTCAAATTTCATTGCAAAATTATATCATATCAATGATATTTTGTAAAGGAAGCAACTGTATGAAGCAGTTGTATGACTTCTTTAAAAGCAGCTGTTATTTTAAATAAAACAATTAACAATGCTTAAGAACAATTTTTCAGATGTAGTATAATGTAATTATAAAAATTATCAAGATTACTAAATTGTCTTACCTTGTTCCTACTTAGAGCTAAGAAAAAATAAGTAATCGTTGGACACAGATTGGCAGGGTAGAAAATAAAATCTGAAAGTAGGTGACATTCACTTAAAAATCCGCAAAATAATAGAAATAAAAGTATATCATTAATCTTTAGAGTACTAAGTAGACCTAAATATACCTGTACACCTCTGCATTATATTTATAAATCTTGACTTTAAGGTAGTTATTTCATAATTTACTCATATTCAACTGAAATTGTATTAGTATTATATGTAAAAATATCAACCAATGATGCAACAGATGCAGAAATGATATTCATGAGATGCATTTATGAAAAGTCATTCACTTGCTATGGTATCCTAGAATTTATAATTAAAAGACAGATTTGTGCCACTTCCAATTGTTTTTATTCTTCATACTTTTCTAAGAGCTATAAGACTTCAGTGTGTGTGTGTGTATGTGTGTGTGTGGTATGTAGTAAAATTTTTGAGGTTTTTCATATGAACAAAATAATAAACATATATAATTTTAAAAACAAAGTATTTAACAGTTATATACTTGTATCATTTAAATACATATGATTTTACCTTTTAAAATTAAGTAATAAAATAAATTTGTGTTTCCCCAGATATCAGTAAAACTCAAAGAAGAATGCACAAAGTATATCAAATCTGGTACTTTTTAAAAGTAAATTGTTTTCAGAAAGTTAAAGCAGAGAAATTAAATCTGCTGCTCATTACCAACATATTTTTAAAATTAATTATTGAATATATAGTAACAGTTTATACTGCATGAGGATATTTGGGAGCAATAGATTCTTTCTGAGGAACTAGAAGTTCTTGATACTAGACGGACAACAAAAACACCTGCATTAGTAATTTTTGGATTTTTGTTCCATGATTTAGAAGAATGAAATTAACAGATCACAAGAACATAGAGGGTGCATTTTAGATGATATTTAGTATAGATTCATGTGTAGCAGCCTGAGAAAAATGAAGGACCATAATATTCTAATTAATCAGACCTGAAAGTCTACCATGAGGTGGGTCAACAGCCCAAGATAGGAAGGGGAGCAGGAGAGAAATAATGAAAAAGTCCAAATTTTCAGAGTCGTTGTTTAGGCTCTGCCCAGTAAACAAAACAAGGAGACTGTCCAGAAGAACAAGGAAAATGTATTCTGAGCTAAGACTCTTATTGGTAGCCAGAAACAATAAAAATCCAGGCAGCATATAGGGAAAGTGGTAAGGAGCTGAAATTCGGGGAAAGAATATATTTCGGTTATATGATTAGCATGACTTGAGGTAAACCTACCTTGGTAGGAGTGGTCCCTTGGCCAGATAGCCGAGTTGGATTAATGCTGAAGGGAGAAGCAAAGGTGTTTCTCCAGCAGACATAAATGTCATACTTTTGGCTAGGAGGCAACAACTCTCCCTTAACAAGCTTTCTATGATGCTATAGCTTTCACATCTTTAGTGACAAATTGTTTCCAGAAAGTATCATTGTTAATTGGATGCTGAGAAATGGGAAAATGGAGAATATGTGAGAATTCTAAGAAAATTATCCTCTCAGCTACATGTAAGGTCTTGCTATAATAGCATATTAACTTTAGCATATTGTATGATTTCTGTTAACAGAAGTTTCAGTCCAGCCGAGTTCCACATCCCTCAGTCTCAAAGAGATACACAGAGGCTTATGTTAATTGGATACTGGCCTATTGCTCGGGCTTATTTCTAACTAGCTCTTGTGACTTAAATTCATTTATAATTCTTGTCTATGATTAGTCATGTGGCTTGGTACCTTTTTTCAGTAAGGCATTCTCATCTTGCTTCCTCTGCATCTGGCTGGTGATTGGCTTTCTGCCTTTCTTCTTCTTAGAATTCACTTAGTTTAATTGTCCCACCTCTATTTCCTGCCTGGCTAATGGCCAATCAATGTTTCAGAAAGCCATTATGAATGAAAGATTATGAATCTTTACAGTTTACAAAAGCATTATCTCACAGCATTCTAATGTGTGAAAATTGGTGTGTTCTTATGAACACCTTCAAACTTAAGAACTTACAAATTAAGGATGACATCAATAGGCTCAACTTTAAAATAGAACAAATAATCCCAAAATGACCATTGTCTCAATCTTGCATTGCTGTGAAGAGACGCCATGACCATGGCAACTCTTATGAAACAAACAAAGAAACAAACAAAAACAAACAGAAAGATTAATTGAGGTTTCTTGCTTACAATTTCAGAGTTTCAGTTTATTATAATCAAGACAGTGCATATGGCAAAAAGCAGGAAGACATGTTACTGGTGCTTAGAGTCCTTAAGTCTTCATAAGCAGGCTTAAACACCAGTAAATGAATTCACATATTGAGAGAAATATTTTCATTAATGTTGAAATGAATTCCTCTGCCAAGGAATGAACATTTTCTATATATAAATTTCAAAGCTAATATATTAAATATTTTCAGTATTCAAATGTTTCATTTCTATACAAACATTGCCACTTTTCTCTGTTAAATATTTTTTAGCACTTTTTAAATTTCCAATTTGTTGTTCAAGTGGAATTAAAAGCATGCACACATTAAACACTCTAAATCATAAGCAGATAGTGATGAACATATACTCTTTTCAAATATGCTTACAGTTCAGAAATGTTACATAAAGTGTTAGAGAAACATAAACAGAAGCTGGAGGAGAAAATGCTCTTGTAAAATGGTGCTTTGCAGGTTCAGAACATAAAATATTGAACCTGATAATAATCTAGGTGAGTTTGAAAGCAGAGATAAAAATATTGCATCCCATACACCTTTACATTTTTACTTCTATACTTAACTCTTAAAATCTACTTTTGGATCTGTATTTTTGTTATCATCCCTAAATTTCTATGTATGCATGTCTTAAATTGTGAACACATCCATCAACCTATATTTCCAAGAACAAAATATATCACATTCTTTTAGTGTTACACCTATATATTGTATAGATTTGCCCTTAAAAACTGGCAACAATAGATGATGGTTTTTTTCTTAGTTACTTGTGAGAAAAGTGTGATGAATTGTGAGTGATATCTCAGAAGTTTTCTACAACTTGTATTTTCAGATGTGAAGTATTTGAAAGAGGAGGATGCTAACCGAAAGACCTTCACCGTCAGCAGCACGCTGGACTTCCGAGTGGACCGCAGTGACGATGGAGTGGCGGTCATCTGTAGAGTAGACCATGAGTCCCTCAATGCCACCCCTCAGGTAGCCATGCAGGTGCTAGAAATACACTGTAAGTAGACACATGCCACCCCCTTTATGTCTACAATGCATTTTTCTTTATTAGTATTTAAAAATCAGTTTTTAAATTACATGAAGTTGTAACAAATGGGCCAAAAACTTTCCTATCCTCACGAATCTCAATCATGTACCAAGGTAAGAGTCCTTTTCTGAGTGTGTGTCTTAACAAGGAAGGAGAATAAAGAGCATCTCAGAGTTTAAAGTTCTGAATTATCATTGAAGATATGGCTTGGTGTGCGCATGTGTGGAAGAGGGTGGGTGAGAACACTGGGGTTATATCAAACTATCTTAGTTACTTGCAAATCGTTTTCTCATATTTTTATCCTACATACTGTATTTTAGTCTCTTTGAATACAGAGGCACCATCACTACATCTATAATTATCGTTTACAATTGCAGTAAAAATGTTAACTGTGTGATGTTCACATATGAGGGGCAGTGATGAAGCTTTGGGGACATTGTCTCATACAGCTCGATGTGCAGTCAGAGTTATGAATTACAAGGTGAACAGTTGACGGAGAAAGTCGGGGGGACAAGTCAATTGCTAGTAAATAATAGATTTATAATCTATTACTTAAAGGAGGCCTGGGAACATATATTTACTAAAATGAAGCTGAGTGGAGTGAAATATACAAGCCGAAGTAAAAAGGAGAAAATAAAATATCCTATTTATGAACTGCTTGATTCAATTCTTTGAGATAATAAAGTGATTTATTTTTCTGGTTGATTTTCCTGGGATGAAATTAAAGCCTGAATTTGGAATAACATTAAAACCCTAAAGTCCTGAACTATGATCAAACACCACTGTACTAATAAGGTTTATTGCATTTTATTTTCATTTATTAGTCAATCAATGTTGCATTGGTCCTTAGTAAATAGCAGCCATGGTTTAGGACTCAGCACTTACCAAATTACCAAAAAAAAAAAAAAAAAAAAAGAAAACCAAACCAACCCCCCCCCCACCAAAAAGCCCCCTGCAACAATAACAAGAACAAAACAAAAATAAAAACAAAAACAAAGCTAACCCACTTGTTTCCAATTGTCATCACCACTACAACAATAAAACTTTTCTTTTGCAAACAAGATGCAATGAAGCAAAGGAAATGTAAATAATCTCTGCATGAAACAAAGTACCCAGTGACAATTACTATTCAAGAAAAATAAGACAAATGAGATGGTAGGAAGATGAAAACAGGGCGTAAAACCATTGCTTTGATGAGCTTACCCACATGTAATGCTAAGGAATGAATGATGTGATACAAAGCCCCAAATTAGGAGCACACCTGTTACATTTATTTCTAGAAACATCAATGCAATCAGAAAGACCACAGTAGAACCCACTAGGGCAGAATAAACAGCATTAGGAGAAAATACTAGAGATGTGTCTGAAACTATTGCAATTTAAAAGCAATTTGCATTGCATTAGATTAGTTTTACTAGATTTTCTCCTGCTGTCCTTGAAACAGATTTCAGCACAAACACCATACAGATGACATGAATATTATTTCTAGTTCCAACATTTTTATAAAATGACTTTGTGAAGGTCGCTGATTATAAACTAGAGAATCAATTCCTGTGTTGATTTGATTATAAGCTAAATAATTAATTTCTATGAGCTCGAGGCAATTTAAGTCAAGTTTGAACAATTAAAAGATTTCAAATGAATCATGACCATCCCTTACTGCTTATTTGATCAATGAATCATTAAGGTACAAGGAATGGAAGCTGATAGTTTTAGAAGATCCATATTGTCATCATAATAGTTTGAATTTTTAAATATACTTTTAATTTTACTGTGAGAGGTAATAATATTTTGAAAAATATCTTTCATTCATATAACTCTAATTAAAACATATTATGTACAAAATCATAGAAATCAAATCATATTAATTAATTGTTGACAAACACCACCATGGCTAGATCCTTCAGATAGTGAAGCAGTTGACAACTTGTTTACTTTTCTCTGTGTTGTTGGAGACACAGCAGGTGAACTGTAGAGTTTTCTCACTGATAACCAAACTGTTTTGAATGAAATTAGGCTTGTGGAGGCTTGTGGATCTGAGTATTTGCCTCAGTGGATGTTTTCTGCATAAGCATGAAGATGTTAGTTTGGATCTCCATAGTCACATAAAGGCAAGCAGAGAAACACGCACCCACCACCACTGAGAAGATCAAGGCAGGTGGATATTGCATGCTCCCTGTCTCACTAAGAGCAATAAGGGAGCTTTTAGGTAGAGACTGAGTCTCAAAAACAAGGAAAGGAATAGAGTACAAAATGCAGAAGTCTACTTGTATTCTAACCTATCCCTGAGCGTGCACAGCTGAGAATTCCTTTACACACAGAGATACACAAACACACATATGCAAACAAACCATGAAATAAGTCTCAGTGAAACACATTACTTATAAAAATAATAAAAATCAATAAAGGGTCAGAATTTGGCGCTATCAAGAACAGAGTCACTACTATCAGTGAAAGAAATTTTGAAATTTGATTTGGAAAACAGAAATTTTAAAACACAATTAATTTTGTTAATATAAGACACACTAACCTGGCTAAACTCCCGAAAACTGAGTACTCTGGCCTCTCTTATGTCACCTCAGTTTTTCACTGACCGTGGTCTTGTCTTCTTCTATCTCATAACCACAGAATAACTTTACTGCCCATGCTATAAAGAATGATTTTGATCATTGTAAGGTTTCAGAACAGCTGTTAGTTCCAAACATCTACTGCCAAGTTCACTTTTACTTCCTTGGAAATTAAAATCGGTTCTATAAAATTCCTAGTCACCTATTTGTTTAATGTTTGACATATTTAATGTGTATTATTTTGAATATTTCATGGAGAAGAGTAACTGAATTCTTTAGCTTTTGTAGAGTTTTATTTGAAATATTTTACATTCATACAATGTAATAAATTGAAACTGTCATATTTTTATATCATAAATTAATATGCAAGTGGCCAGAGGGCAGTAACTAGATCAATTTAAATTATTTTTCTTAAAATCTAGCATACTATCACTCAAGTAGAAGAAGCTAATTAAAGGCAACAGTGGTTGTAATGCTAAATGTTCCTTTAAGGACGCAGAACATTCCCCAGAGATGAAACACGTACCAGTGATCTGACAGAGATACGGTTTGTATTAGAAGGAGAACAATGCATGAAATAATGCAGTCTTCATAAAAATCTAAGAGCAATGCCATAAATGTCTGAATTTTCCACCCCAAAGTAGGAGATAATCACACCACGTTTGATGAATAATTTGCTATGGATAAAAGGAAGATAGAATGTAGTTTTGGACAGGGGAATAAAATGGAATGATTAGCAAATTCAGGATTTTTCCTTGGTATAATAATATTCTCGCTATGGAATACCTCAGCAATGGTCCCAAATAAAGAAACACTTAGAAGAAATGTCAATGTTTTCTCTGTTGCATAAAAAGGATGCATGTGCATTCTTTAATAATGTGTACAATAGTAACTGCCCAAGACACAGAAATTCTGCTACCAGATGGTTGGACATTGGAAGTAAGGGAAACACATAGCAGCAAAAAACATAATAAAAAAATACATGGCTAGATAAGTTATTAAAAGGTGTTTCAGCCCTGTTTCCCTGTTATGCAGATAATTTAAAGGAATTATCCCATGAAATTTATCAGATCAACTTTTTCTATTTAGAAAGTATTAATCATTTATCAAAATACTTCCACACAATAAAGGGACTCATTTTAAACTGAAATTTAAGAGAAAGAAGAACAGATATTTTCTTTTCCTGTCAACCACACAAACACTTTCAAATTTCACATATTAGGTAAGAGAACACTTCTCAGCTGAACAGCATGAAAAACGACTCACTTTTTTTACATATGAAATCTCTTATTTATCTTTGTAACTGTACCTATATCTCTTTAAAAAATACCTTTTAATTGGTCTGATTTAAATTTATAGGAAACACCTTATGAGTCAGAATTTATTCAGTGTTCAGTAGAAAAAAATCTATGTGCACCAGCAGAAGACTCCACCCATTACACAGCAAAGAAGGCACAAAACAGCTATTTCCTGCTGTTCCATGACATTTCATTGACGTAACAAGACTAAAACAGAACTCTTATTGAAAATGAAAATCTCAAGGGAAAAATACCGAAATGTCAGAGTAATGTTAATTGTATGAGAAAGCACTGTAACACTCTAGAATGAGACGAGTATTAGAGTCTGAATTTTTAAAATGTTTATGCATGTGCTGTAAAATACTTTATACACCTCCCCATCAAAACATTGAGCTTATTATTAATTACTAACATTTGTTTTGTAATTGTATTTGAATGTGAATTATATTTGAATGTTTCACCTATAAAAATGAATAGTTGTTTAAAACTGTAGATCATTTTCATTTAAGCCATAAATAAAATAATGAAAATGGCTCATGAATTGGGCTCTCCATTTGAGCCCAAACATTTTATCAGAGTAACAGTGGAAGGTGGTGGGTAAAAACTGGGGAAGAGAAGAGGAAGGAAAGGAAGAAGAGGAACTGGGAAGGAAAGGAAAAGATTTTGGGAAAGAAGAGAAATGGAGGGTGCATCAGGCTTAGGAATAACATTGTTTTTAAATTAGATCAGTTAAGCTATTGATAAATGAAAATATATGCATTAATACATTTAAAATAACACTAAAACTGCTATCACTATTAAATGAAACAGTATCTCTATAAGGGATTAATAGCCAATTTTAGTTCCTGACCTATATATTTTGATAATTGTGTTTCCAATCTAGTAAGCACAACAATGGATAATATAGGTGTTTAATTTCCCTTTAAAATCTTACATTGTAAAACGTACCATAGTGCTTCTATAGTGATTTTGTTATTGTTAAATCTCATTTAGAGAATTACCTTGGGCTAGAGAAACAAAACTCACTGTTGTAAATTTTTGCTACATTTATCAACCATGTAATGTATTTCAGTTTTTATTCTCATGAATTGAATACAAATTCAAT